TTAACTTAAAACATCGATTCCCAATAAGACAATGACACCATCTCAACAGTTCTCAACACATGCATCCACCTAACCAAGCTATAAAGTGCCATTCACTTCCTTCATGTACAAAGACTGATTCGTTTACTTATTAAACAAGTGTACGTGTACAAAGAAGTATCCCCATAAGCTTACACAGAGTGACCCTATAGTTGTATACTGTTAACACGTACGTAAATTGTACATGTTTTTAGTTCCCTTTTAAGCCTCTTTGCTTAGTCATTTTGGCAATGCTTCTATGTTTTTGTGGGTTTTGTGCTTGGTTTGTGGTTTTAATGTGTTTCAGATCATTAGAACTAAATTTGACGATATTTGGACAAGAAACACACTAAAGGATGAAAGAAGAGTTCAACCACAGTTTTTACCAAAGAATTATCGAAAATTGTCATGGCAGTAAAGAGGACAAGATTACAAGCGCCTAGGATCAAACAGAGACTGATTCAGAGTTTGGACGAGGGTAAAAAGGCAAAAAATGGAGCAATTAGCTGCCGAAGCACTCACGGGTAGCCCCATGGCCATGAACCGGACGACGAAAATTAACCTGAAATTTCAGAATTCACTGCTGAGGGATTCATGGGTTTGCCCACGACCGTGGCCAAGGCTGTGAGAGGGCATATATCTTCACTGTTTAGGCCGATTTAAGCCTAATTGAGAGGGCATTTCGACCATAATAATCCTAAGACGACCAGAGATGATTGAGAGAGAGTAGACTATGAGATTTTCCATAAGTTCTACCCCAAAGGATTCACCTTGGAACATCCAATCATCCCTTACACCTATTGATGGCAATTTGAACCCGCCCCGCGGGGTATTACCCTAGCTGACCCGCGATGGGGCGGTATTACCCGACCCGCGATGGAGCGGACATTACTTGACCGGCAATAGCGTGGGGCGGGCATAGGTATCTACTTCCGACCCGCCCTGCCCCGTTCTTTGCCCAATCTATCTCAATTTCTTAGAATATCTATACAAAGTTCTCCTATTTTGACTTTTCTTCAACTAGTTAGAGTCGATCTTTCAACTTGTTAGACTCAATTGCCCATTCTATTATCATTATTATTCAATTATATAGTGTTTTCCCCTTCTTTTTATCGTAAAACATAAAATTTGCGTGTATTTTTTTAGTGAGTCGCCCCGTCTCCCTCCGTACCCGCGCAGATTTTACCCGCCCTACGCCGCAATAGCATGCGGCGGGGCATGGGTATTGAGGTACCCGCCCCGCCTCATTGCCATCACTACTTACACCATGAAAATTGGTTCTTATTTCTCTCATTTGTTCCTCCCTTCATCTTCCATGAACTAATCCTCTTTTCTTGTTTGGATTAGCTGAACCCTATCTGTAACTACTGATTTGATTGGATTATATGGATATCTATGTTTACTAGCACATCGCCCGACCTCTTGGTCGGAAGATCTTGATACTTGTGTATAATTGTGCAACCGTTTAAGGTAGATATCTGGTTGGTCTTAAATATATAATTTATGAAAATACTCAAAAAAATATTTAGTTGGCAAAGTTTATAAGAATATCAAACAACGTACTATGCTATATAGTATTGGTGCTTTAATGTACAACTTAAAGTTGTACCATAACATTAAATGTATAAGTTTAGGTTGTACCATAAAGCAATTTGTACCATTATGTTATGGTACAACTTTACAACTTGAACTTGTACGTACAAGTTCAAGTTGTACCATAAAAGAATTTGTACAAAAAATATAGGTACAATATGAAGTTGTACCATAACGTAAATGTACAATTTTAAGTTGTACCATATAGGCAAAACCCAATAGCACCAATACTATATAGCATTGTAAAATTTCTCCGCATTGACAATATGTGAAACAACCTACACATACCTAATATATTTACACGTATTAATTTCAACTATTTTTTTTTTAAAAAAAATCTTATCTATGCAAAAAGTATGATGCAGCGCGCGCGGGCGGGAGAAGATCAAATCAAAACTCATTGATTCACAAGAATAGCCGAGAGTGATTTTTGCGAGGAAAACCTCTTTTGTTCTTTATTCACTATCAAAAACTGCCGAACAAAGGACTACAAGCCGATATATTTATAGCTAAGATACTGAAACCTAATCGGACTAGAGCTAGGAAAGAAAATCACTGCTAATGTCTCAAATAAAATAAAAGAAACACAACAAAATGGTGTTCAAGACCACTAAGGCCGCGCGGCACAGGATGCCACATCATTCCCCCGGGGATAGAAAAGATTCGACCGCGAATCCACAGCGTCCTCATCGGAAGACGAATCCGCCACGACAGGAACAAGGTGCTTCACATTAAAGACGTCGGACGTACGAACATGGCTCGGAAGTCGCAGGCGATACGCATTCGGATTAACTTCTCAACAATTTCAACAGGACCAATCTTCTTCGCGGCGAGCTTGCTATACTCACGGGCGGGGGAACGATCCTTGGTGAGGATATCCCAAACCAAGTCACCAACGTCAAACTCCACAGCGTGTCGGTGCTGATCGGCACGAGTCTTGTAGGCCGTCGTGGAAGCCACTAGGCAATCATGCGTAGCAGAATGAATATGAGCCAGCTGACTCACGAACTCGGCAGCTGTAGCGTGAGGCCAGGCCTTGCTAGGAAGGGCGAGAAGATCAAGAGGCCCCCGCGGGGACAACCCATAGACAACGCGGAACGGCGGGAAGCCTGTGGAGCGATTGACCGCATGGTTATGAGCAAACTCCGCTTGTAGAAGCTTAAGATCCCATGCTCGAGGGTGATCGCCAACCAAACTGCGTAAGAGATTTCCCAACGAACGATTAACAACCTCTGTTTTCCCGTCGGTCTGCGGATGGTAAGCACTTCTAAAGTTCAGCTACTTATTAACCATACGCCACAAACTGCGCCAGAAATGACTCACAAAGCGGGTATCACAATCCGAGACAATAGACGCAGGAAGGCCGTAGAGACGGTAGACGTCCCGGAAATAGAGCTGGGCCACGGCGACCACATCCGAAGCCTTCTTGCATGGTATAAAATGGACCATCTTGGAAAACCAATCCACGACCACAAAAATGGAGTCTGACCCACGCTGGGTGCGAGGGAGACAAAGGACGAAGTCCATACTCACATCGGACCAAGGTTGGGTAGGAATAGGGAGAGGCCGATACAGTCCGGCATTGGTGGCAGCTCCTTGTGCATCGAGGGCCAAAAGTAAGAGGCTGACAGAAGCTGGAACGTACGGTCGCGTCCCACATGACCCTCATTGTGGAGTTCTTGAATCATCTTCAGGCATAGGCTACAAGAGGGGACGCAGAGTTGAATCCCACGAAAGAGGAACCCGCCATCCAACACAAAGTCAGTTGACTCACCGCGTTGAAGACGTTCCAAAATCTGCGAAAAATAAGGGTCATCAACGTAAAGAGCCATGAACAAATCAAAGCCGGGCACCTGTACGCGCATCTCTGTCAGTAGCCCACTGCGGCGGCTTAACGCGTCCGCCACGTGATTAGAAACTCCAGCTTTGTGTTTGATCACAAAAGTGAATTATTGCAGGTACGAAATCCAAGATGCATGACGATGATAAATCTTCTCTTGGCTGCCCAGGTGTTTGAGAGAATCATGGTCGGTGTAGAGGACGAACTCGTGGTGGAACAAATAGTGGCGCCAATGTTTAATGGCTTGCACCACTGCATAGAACTCGACGTCATACGTGCTGAAACGAAGCTTGGCACCAGACAACTTCACGCCGAAGTAGGCAACGGGGTGGCCGGACTGACTGAGGACAAAACTGATGCCGGTCTTCGAGGCGTCACAATGGAGCTCAAAAGGCTGGGTGAAATCAGGAAGCACCAAGATGGGGGCGGAGACAAGCCGCGCCTTGATCTCCAAAATGCAGCCTCCGCGTAAGGGGTCTAGGAGAATTTTGTTCCTCGTATGCAATCCATAAGAGGCGCCATAACCCCGCTGAAGTGAGGGATGAAACGACGGTAAAAATACGCTAGTCCATGGAAGCTGCGCACCTCGGTAACAGACGATGGATGGGGCCATTGCTCTATCGCTCGAACCTTACTCGGGTCAACCTGGAGGCCATCCCCCAAGACCACATAGCCAAGGAATTGGATCGACGGCGAGAGAAAAGCACACTTGGCAGTTGCCGCGTAGAACTTCTCCCGGCGGAGTACCAACAACACGTTCCGCAGGTGGTCTAGATGGGCTAGCTCATTGTCGCTATAAATCAAGATATCGTCAAAATAGACGACCACACAGTGTCCAATAAACAGCCGAAGTACCTGGTTCATCACCCGCATGAACGTACTGGGGGCGTTGGACAGGCCGAAGGGCATAACCAGCCATTCAAATAAGCCTTCCCGAGTTTTAAAGGCAGTTTTCCACTCGTCACCCGCGCGGATGCGAATTTGATGATAGCACTCTTAAGGTCCAATTTGCTAAAGACAGTAGCGCCTCCCAATTGATCAAGCAAGTCATCCAACCGGGGAATGGGAAAACGATAGCGCACCGTAATCTTGTTAATGGCCCGACTATCAACACACATACGCCACGACCCATCCTTCTTAGGTGTTAACAGAGCGGGGACGGCACAAGGGCTGAGACTCTCGCGCACATGGCCCTTGGCGAGGAGTTCCTCGACCTGCCTGCGGAGCTCTTCATGCTCCTGGGGGCTCATACGGTAATGAGGGCGATTGGGAAGGACGACCCCTGGGACGAGGTCAATATGGTGTTGTATATCCCATAATGGAGGTAACTCATTAGGCAGGGTTTCGGGGAATACGTCGGCAAACTCTTGTAACAGTGGGCGCACGCGATCGGGAATGGGGAAATCCGCGTTCCCTTGCCGCAACGAGCAATAAACAAGGAAGACCACTCCCTATTCCTCCATGGCAGCCTGGAACGGTCCCCTAGACAAAAGGGTCGTGGGGGAAGAAGCTGGCGTGGGAGCAGTCGCTGCCGCCTTGGGTTTGGTAGGGATGAGGATGATTTTTGTTCCCCGAAAGAGGAAGGAGTACGTGTTGGCACGCCCGTCATGATAAACTGAGTTATCATATTGTCATGCCCGACCCAGGAGGAGATGACATGCGTCCATAGGGACCACATCACAGTAGACCGTATCGCAGTACGTAGAGCCGACAGAGAAGTTGACCAATACACGCTTAGAGACAGTGACATCAGTACCCTGGCTAAGCTAGGACAGGCGATAGGGCTTGGGGTGTGGCTCCGTCGTGAGTCCCAGTTTAGACACCGCCACCTCCGAGATCATATTCTCACAACTGCTCGCGTCGATGATGAAAGAACACACCTTGCCGCCGATGGTGCAGGTTGAGTGAAACAAGTTATTGCGCAACCACTCAGTGTCGGGCAGATGCAGGGTTAGGCAGGAGCGTCGCAGCACTAGTAGAGGGCCAATGTCCCCCACAACGTGTTCCTCAGAATCATCATCGTCATAGATTGGGTGGGCATCGCAAAGATCCTCTTGCCCAGCCTCCTCTGCTTCTGTGAAAAGTCCCCGAGTGTTAGGCTTCGGGTTGCGACACTCCGATTGGCGATGACCAGTCTCCCCGCAGTTAAAATAGCGAAGCCCACCTAGGCGGCCTGTTGGGTGCTCGCCGAGTTGTGGAATGGTGGAGTTGCCTCCCTTGCCGGGTGTGACGCTGGAGCGGAGCCGCTAGGGATGCTCGCCGGTTGCCTGAAGGAGGGCGTGTTTCGTCGGGAGAACTGCTTCTCGACTTGGGATGCCTGCTGGTGCGCCTCGGCCACATTCACCGAATCAAACATATTAAGCACGTCTTGAAATTGGAGGCGCAACCCACCAATGTAGCGAGACACCAGCTGAAGAGGAGACTCATTAGAATCCACACGTGCTAGTAGAGAGTAGAACTCAGCAGAGTATTCCTCGACAATACGAGGGCCCTGACGAAGATTCTGAAACCGCTGATATAATTCACGATCAAAATTGTAGGGTAAGAACGCCGCCCTGATATGTTTTCTGAACTTGTTCCAGTCAGAAACTTTCTCCTTGCCTTGCCGCGCACGAGTCTGCTTCAACTGCTGCCACGAAGCTTGTGCGCGTCCATGCAACCGAATCGTGACAAGGGAAACCCTATGGTTCACGGGGACCTCCTTAAAATCCAGGATTTCTTCCACTTGCGAGAGCCAATCGACAAACTCTTCTGGCTTAAGAGTGCCATCAAACGGGGGAATTTCCACCCTAAAACCCTGCTCCCAACAATTGTTAGGGCGATTGGGTGAACGATTCGGGAGAGCCGCAAAAGGGTTCTCGTCCACTATGGAAACGTCATCATACTGACGCTGGAGGACTTCATCCATTCGCTGCGTCAATACCTCTACCTGCCGCCGCAAGTCGTCGTTGTCACGGCGAACCTCAGCATGCTCACGCCGCAGCTCAGCAAAATCATCATCCTCGCCATCACGGTCACAGCCAGCAGGGCGCGCCTGTCTCCTTGGCGGCATCCCTGAAGAACGACCGTGCTCTGATACCAATCTGATGCAGCGCGCGCGGGCGGAAGAAGATAAAATCAAAACTCGTTGATTCACAAGAATAGCCGAGAGTGATTTTTGCGAGGAAAACCTCTTTTGTTCTTTATTCAATATAAAAAACTGCCGAACAAAGGACTACAAGCCGATATATTTATAGCTAAGATACTGAAACCTAATCCAACTAGAGCTAGGAAAGAAAATTACTGCTAATGTCTCAAATAAAATAAAAGAAACAAAACAAAATGGTGTTCAAGACCACTAAGACCGTGCGGCACAGGATGCCGCATCAAAGTATGAGAATAATAACGTGATAGTTCCTTGCCTTTATTTTGTGTTGTTTGTACTATATTTATATTTTAATTTCAAAGTTCTATCGCATTAAAAAATAACATCATAGTTCTCCCATCATACATTTATAATTAATGTATGGATCATTCAAAACTAATTAGTAAAGAAACTATTACAATTTATTCAACAAATTTCAACTTTTGGTCCAAATTGTAGCAAGATAGTAGTATAAAAGAATACACGTCTTACCGATTAAGTTTATGAAAGCGGGTCCAAATTCCATAAAGGTGATCATTTGAGCAATAAAAACTTCAAAATTATCGTGGCAAGAGAAATTGTAACAAAACAAACACCCAACACAAATGAGTCCCAACATCAACCAACATACTTAAATTGCTAGGTTCTAAACTTGATAACATCCAATCTCTATAACGACATCACCATTAACTAAAAATCTTCATTATTGATCATTATAAATTTCTCATCAGGTTATCAATTAAGGTTAAAAAATGACTTCTAGAATCCAACTTATCTCGTGGAGAGGAGCGGGAGCGGGAGGAAGAGCAAGAGTGCAAAAGCATTTATTTATTGAAAAGCTTGACTAATATTTATTCAACTTTTAAAGTTTTGGCTAATCAACTGTATTTATCATTTTTCATTGAACATCACGTTACGGAAAGTTTTCCAATTTTGCATCGCGTTTTCTAGCTCAACATCATCTAAAGAAATTTTTTTAAAAAATATGATAGGTGGCTAATATTTTGTCATTTAAAAAGTTTGCCTAATATTTTGTCAAAATCGAGACATTTTTCTAATAAATTATATTTAATAAAATAAAAATGGTACTCACTTTATTCTACCTATATATAAAAACCAATTCCTACCTTGAAAATGATTTTGCAGCCAATTTGAAAAATGGGTAAAAATCACACCCAACCCGAAATCCGTCGATACCAGGTTTTATCAGTTTTTACCGACTCATGTCGAATTGGGTATGCATGGTCCAGGTTCATTTTCTATCCCTACTAGTAGGCAACAACTGCCGATAAAGGACCATGGACTCAAACCAGTGATAATAGATTAGGCGATGAGTTGGGTATCCATTTGGATGGGCAAGAATAGGATATCTCATCGAAAAATGGGTACAAAATATCATGTCATACCACCATGATATGAATCATATTCACTTTGACACAATCATATCACCAACAAATCAGGAATAATTAGACACGAATTTTGTAGGTTTTACCGTAATTCAAGCCAGATTGCATTTATGAGAAAAATAATTACGGATTGGAAACAAAATGCAAAACATAAAACATAAGTTTGCAAAACGTGTGGGTGGCAGTCGCACAACCAAAAGTAAAAGAACGAAAAAAGCAAACACATTATAATTGTTAGGAGAACGGATCGTTTGGGAGTTGGGACTAAATTAATAAGTGGGTAAAGTCAAAACTACCCTTCCAAAAATTAATCACGTTCCTCTATTTTTGAAATGGAGGAAAATCCATGCTTGATTTAGCTTGAACAGTTGAACCATATTACAAGAGGTGTAGATAGATTGTGAGCATGAAAGTGACAAATTGATTATGTGGAAGAGCAACAAATTAGGCCCAAATCAATCGTTGTTTCAGGCAATTGGTGACTGTAGTAGGGAAAGAATCATAGGTGGGGGGTGGATTGGGTTTATATACATCTACACATCTGCAACGAAACATCATAGATGGCTGATTAATTGAACCTGCAAACCAGGGGTTCTTACTGTATTATTGTACTAAATATTGAAGGCCACTATACTTTGATAAAGGCAAGCCTTCTTGGCGGCAATTTGTGTTGGAAATTTGGTTGAATCGAACCGGTTTTAGGTTGGACCAACCAACCAGTTTGGGATTAAATCAACCAAACAAGATGAATCAAATTCATGGTGCTGGAATGTTTTGATGTCAAGCTTAAGTCCTTTTAAGTTGGACTTTAATCATCACGTTGCATTTGAATTGGCAGTTAGCCACCAGACAATGCAACCATTCCATAAATTGAATTTGAAAGCCATTAAGCAATGCTTAGCCAGTATGGACACGTTTCATGCAAGTAATGGTGAAGGTTAATTAGACTAAATTCCTTACGTGATGGAGACCTACGTCCCTCTAATATGGGTAGTTACTTCCTTAAGCAATACCTCCCTTCAATAAAGGGTAGTTGCTATCAGTGGCGGATTCAAAAAATTTTCTCAGGGGTATACTCTTCAAAAATTAAATTTAATTATATAATAAATTAAATAATTTGTATATTAAAAATATCATACTTGTATAATTTGTATAAATTTTTTTATTAAATAATAAATTAAAATTAATATTTTGAAAAAATAATATAAATAAACTTTGTGTCTGCACTGTTGAAAAAATCTACATATCCTACTAGACAATACTTCACGAACTTATCACATATTCGATTTCTAACCTTGTTCTTAATGTAGCTCAAAGTAGAAAAGACTCTTTCAACACTTGCCGTGTAACCATAAAATCAATTCAAAATTAAGGGTAGCGTTTACGTAGTTTAATTATTAGGTATTGAAAATAGTTGGTGATAAAGAAATAACGTTTTACTGTTGCATGATGTTTAAAATAGAATAACAAATGAGTAGCAACATAATTAGAATATGTTTGATAATAGTAGTTGTCCTAAGTTGGAATAACACGGACTACCACTTATATTTTGTTAATCATAAGCAAACTATTATCGATGGTAGGATAATCATTTTTTCAAATGTTAGGGTGTCCCGGATTACCAATTATATTTTGTATACCCATACAAAATTACTACCGGAGGTTGGATAATCGTTTCCCCAAATTTTAGGGGGGTCCCGGGACACCCCTAGAGGCCCATGTATCCGCCCCTGGTTGCTATGGATAAATGCACGTTGAATGAAACGATGCATGGTTTTGAATGAAGCAATATAATGCTTCGTTACCTATAAATAGAAGGACTCGGCTCATGGTGAAGAAAACACACACCAAAAACTTGATTCTCTTCTTCCACTTTAATTCTAAGTATGCTTTAGGTACTTAAGCCTGGAACCTAAAGTGGTGATAGTTTTATCCTACGAAGAAATTTCCTTTAACCCAAGGCTTTGTGGAGAGTGGAAATATTCTTTACGGAAAGTGAACGTTGTTCACGACTTTATCATTAACCTAGTCACCCGGTCATGGGCTATCATACGTGTACCCTCGTCCCTAAAAATCCCAACAATCGTAAAAAAAATATTTTCCGGTACGATGGCTCGAACCGCTCTTTACAAGAAACCAGTTCTGGTTTATGAAAATTTGAGAATGTTCGATGATGAGTTTTTCATCGATGGCAGTAGAAGATGGAGTTTCTTCGTACTAGTCTCATGGTGATGGTTAATTAGACTGAATTCCTCACGTGATGGAGACCTACGTCCCTCTAATATGGGTAGTTACTTCCTAAAGCAATACATCCCTTCAATAAAGGTTAGTTGATGTGGATAAATGCACGTTTAATGAAACGATGCATGGTTTTGAATGAATCAATATAATGCTCCGTTAGCTATAAATAGAAGGACTCGGCTCATGGTGAAGAAAACACATACCAAAAACTTGATTCTCTTCTTCCACTTTAATTCTAAGTATGCTTTAGGTACTTAAGCCTGGAACCTAAAGTGGTGATAGTTTTATCCTACGAAGAAATTTCCTGTAATCCAAGGCTTTGTGGAGGGTGGAAATATTCTTTACGGAAAGTGAACGTTGTTCGCGACTCTATCATTATCCTAGTCATCCGGTCTCGGGCTATCATACGTGTACCCTCGTCCCTAAAAATCTCAACAATTTGTTCATTAGCTGGATCTACAGGTTGCGTGAAAATGGCTCTCATAAACCTTGGAGAACAACAACCTATGAGAAAGTAGTTCAGACATTAGAAGATGATAGAACCAAATCAATTTATTGTGGAAAGAAAAAGGTTCAGAAGTGAAGCTATGTAAATTGGCTCTTTGAGCGTCGAACATGATTTCCAATGATTCTGAAAGAAACAAGATCAAATGACCTTGCTCTTAGGGATTGATTTGGAGGACTTGGAAATAGATATGGGGAGAAGAGTCTTAGAGATTGAGATGATTAGAACAGGGAGGGAGTTGGCTGCTCTTGGTAGAGGGAAAGAAGACACAGACATGGGACAGAGGTAAGAGAGAGAGTGATTAGTTTAGGTTTTAGTGTAAATCTTATGATAATAATATGCTTAATGAAAATGGTTCCCGGTTTACAGAATATAAACCCGAAATAATTCCCTTCTACTACCTAAAGAATAATTCCTAACCCGAATAGACCAATAATGCCTAAAATCCCGACAAAGAACATCTCCAGACCTAAACTTAATTAACCGATAAATTGGGACAAATCCCCAAATAAAAGAAATCCCAAATTATTTCCCAACACTATCGCGAGTAGCTTGACTCATTTGCAGCCCTATCCTCAACACTATTAGTGAAATCAACATTATCTTCAAGACTATCCTCTGGTTGCTGCCCCTCCACCTCGAGCATCTTTATATGGTCATCAACGTGTTCAATGTTGGCACTGTAATGACTAACCATCCTCAACAAAGACCTCTTATAACTTTCCATGTCGTTCTTCAACTGATATGCCTACAAAAACACGAAAACAACCCAAGTTAGTGAACAGCCCAAAAGCAAACCATAAACCTTCTAAAGAATCTCACATTCCTTTTAATGAACACCTGAAACACATGTATACAAACCACATATGTTTAAATTCTCACAAAAAACTGCTACCAAACGATGAATACCATAAAGTATTCCTTTAACGAAGTAATGCAAACCACTATTGTTTTAACATAAACAAAAAGTACACTAAAGCAACCCATAGAACAAACAATAGAAAACACAACTAACCAGCACATGAATAAAATAAAGTATTCCTTAAACAAACTAATGCAAACCACTATCCTTTTAAAGCACACCAAAAGTACGATAAAGCAAGCCGTAAAACGAATAACACAGCAAAATCACTCACATCTTCAACCGAATGAATACCATCCAAGTTGATGTCAAGATGGGGCAGCTTCGGAAGTTCCCCTTCCCTCTCCATATCAAGATCATCCACCGCTCTTTGTACCCTTCACACGTCCTCGTCCCATTGGTTGACTGGAGGTTGCTTGTTCTTCCTCCACTACATATCGATGACCAATAGAGAGATGAAATTCGTCCATAGTTACTTGAAAAGCAGCACTTGCGACTTTTTACGACTTGTGCATACAGGTCGGTATGGGCAGCTCAGGGGGGTTCTTCAAACGGTCAAGAATAGAAATCTGCCACATATACAAACAGACAAAAGTCAAACAACCACAAACAAACTGTGTCAGAAAGATTATAATACACACCACATAAATGATAAACTATACCAGAAACATTATAACAGAGGGGGGAAATACCAAACCATAAATATTTTTAAACAAATCATAAACATCTTCAACCACACCACATTCGTTAATAAACAAACCATAAATGAAACTATACCAGAAACATTATATTAGAGGGGAAAAAAACAAACCATAAATATTTTTAAACAAACCATAAACATCTTCAACCACACCACATTCGTCAATAAACAAACCATAAATGAAACTATACCAGAAACATTATAACAGAGGGGGGAAAATCAAACCATAAATAGTTTTAAAAAAACCATAAACATCTTCAACCACCCCACATTCGTCAATAAACAAACAATAAATGAAACTATACAAGAAACATTATAACAGAGGGGGAAAAAACCAAACCATAAATATTTTTAAACCAACCATAAACATCTTTAACCACACCACATTCGTCAATAAACAAAGCATAAATGAAACAGTAAACCAAAATTCAAAAAGATGTATATTTATCTAGTTACAAAAAGAAGATGAACGTCACTAGAGAACTTTGTTTTTTTATTGAACCACTTCAACCATACTTTCATTGAAATGGTCAGCCACATGCTTGCACCAATTATACTGGTTGAAGTCAGCTATCATTTCATCTTACAAAAACCCAGCATAGGAGAGGTTAACCTTCAAATTTCCACTGGGACACAGAACTGCCTCCATTGCATACAGCACAAAAAGGTCCCTCCACTTCTTATTGTCCTTCTCCTCTTCCAATGCCAGTTTAACGTTCACCAATGTCGCCTTTCCTTTCCTAGTGTTGGGAAGCCCAAGTGAATTCTCCACTTGTGCCTCTGGTTTGAACTGAACATATCTAGCTTAACAGCATACGGTCCACGCGGCAAATCATAGACTCTCTCCAATTCTGAATTTTCCTGACCGAAACAGCAGGAAAGACCTTGAATTGACATCAAAACTTTTGCTAAGCCATTCAGTAAAATTATCCGGGAGTCTCGTAAGCTTAACCCTCGACACACCCCTAAAACCCAGAGGATCAAGCATCCGCAGTTTTTGTTCATTTGTACTTTCAGCATTCATGATGGCAAGAATCTGATTAGTATTACTGCGATGCCTCTTATCCGGCTTTCCATGCACAGGAGAAACACCAACTTTCTCTCGCTTAGGTGTTGGAACTTTCTCCTTTTGTTTCCCCTTTACTGCACGTTTCTTAGCTGGTGCCATGGCTACAAAATAACCAAAACACAAACCAACATAAGCAATCTAATACCAGAACATCTGAAATGCAAACCACCAAGGGCCTAATGCAAACTGTACAACCGTGAAAACAATTCAACAATCGAATGTAAACGACACAAACAACAACTGCAAATGCACACCAGTAAATCTCCTAAACCAAACTGTGAAATCCGAAACACAAACCACAAAACCTTTTAAAAGAACCACCAACAGCAGCCTGGAAATACACAATAGTTTTATTAAAAACCTCCAAAAAGGCCCCAATCGAACCCACAAACACCCTATGTGTCAGCAAACACAAAGCTCACCACCAAAATAAAAAACAAAACAATAGAACTACTAAACACCGCCACAAACGACTCACCAGAAACCCTAAAATGAACACAACCTCAAGGAAATATGGAAAGCACACCACAAAAATGAAGAAACATGATATGACCCCAATTGGGTCTATCTTGAAGATGAAATTTCTTGAGGAAGAAGGTAGTGAAGCTTGGAAGAAGAAGAAGGAAGGAAAATGGCTAAGTGTTGGGTTGAGTCCGAGGTGCCTACTTTGAGAGCTCATATCTCTCAAACCAATCGATGAAAATGTTGGTTCAAGTTCTCAATTTAAAGTTCAAAACTTTATCTTTCGATTGGTATGTCGCGGAGCTCGAGGAGATGCCAGGAGGGGTGTTTTTGAAGTCCAACAAAATGATATGAAGAATCCTGAAAATTGCCTAAATTTGGCTAAGGCAGGAAACTGTTTCAGGATGCTAACTTTGAAGAGCCATAACTGGAGCTTGGGAGATGATCTCTAGCTGATTCAAGTTGGAGGAGAAAGAGTGAGTTTCCTTCTATAACGACAAGGTATTGGATGAGATCGAATCAAACTGGAAGGCCATCTGCTAGACGTGACAAGATGGTATCGACACTGCCAAATAATCTGAATGCCATTCGGATTCCTAGTCCTATAAGGATTACACTTGTATTTCAGTTTTCTTGTTGATTTAGTCTTCCTTTTTCAGTTTGTGTACGTTTATTAGAGTTAGTTTATGCCTATAAAAGGCTTGGATTGTACCTTGTAACATGCAGAGTTGATTTATGAAGAAAACCCCAAAATTCCCAACGTTTTGAGTTCTGAGTTGTCTTGGTTTTGGTTGCGACCAAAGCTTGCTGAATCTTGGCCTATTGATCGAGCAATCCCACTCGATCACTCGAAGGTAACCTTATAGCGATTGTGCATCCTTCCAGGTGTGAGGATTCCCTCTCGTTTCCACCCAATTTCGTCACAAAACAAGCTTCTCAAGCTTGTTTGGTTTTCCCTGTTTGTGCAACGTGAGCAAAGGAGTTTAATTCCTTTGTTTGGCTGCGTGATTATGATCAAACACCATCCAGGGTGTTATCAAATCATTCAACAAAACCTAACCAGAACACACAAGTACGAAATTTTACTCGTCTCCTACAACAAATTAACACGGGAAGCATGAAAACATCGCAGAAAAGTGGAAAACAAAAGTAACAGAGTGCAAACTTAAAAACGACGGTTATAAATTCAATAGCAGCAAGCAACAACAATGCTAGTAGTGTAGGTAAACTAACACCACACAAGCGGAACTTTGGCCACGCTAAACGACAACGGCGACTACGGAGGCCCAAACTAACGACAGAGGAGAAGATAGTTAAGCGGAGGAAATCACCAAAGGACGACATACCTCAAAATTCACGTCGACGACGGAGGAGACGGAATTGCACGAAGGAAATCCGCAAGCCACAGTGGAAGCGTGTGGTGGACGCTCGATGCAGATGGAAGAATAGCGAGAACAGGGAGAGAGCAACCGACGGAGAGCAGTTCGTTAGCAGAGGAGAAAGCGGAAAACAAAAATGATATGTATCGCGCGCTTCAATGCATTTATTATTAATTTTGAATTTTGAATTTTAATATGGGGTAAAATGATAATAATGTTATTGTTGTTAGGGTAACAACACTATAGGTGTTGTTATCAATCCGAGCGCCACGCCAAACTGGCCCAACTCACGTCAAGGTTGTCCGTTCGTGACATATCGGCCAACCAACTTAACACCTGTGCGGCGCCTTTCCCCTCGATCTTCTTTTTTCTTTCTTACAGAAGAATCTCAAATTTAATGATGGACTTTAGGAACTCTAGGGACCAATTAGACAATACTAACCAAGTTAAGTGATCGATTTATGAAACATCATTACACCACTTCATAATTCATATATTTATATTTGGGGGAAAAAATCTGAAAGCAGTATTTCATAAATCTTTTTTTTTTTTAGCGGTGGTATTTCATAAATCTGAAAGCGGTATTGCATGCCCTCATATCGCCTACTTAAACGGTCCGCTATTCCTTTTTTCTATCGCCTACCCTATTCACCAATCGCCATCGTCCTCCAGAACAAACCAGCGGTTGTTTCTTTCTGTTCTCTGCAATCTTCTCCGATTCTTTCTCAGTTCCAATCACTTGTCAATCGCACGGTGGCAAAGCCCTCCTTTGACCTTCTGTTACGCTTCTTTATATATCGCCTGAGAGTTTATGCGTTCTGCTTTTTTATCTGGTTTCAGTTTGATTTTTATATATTTTTGGTGTTGATTGGATCGGACTTGATCGTTCGTCGATTGAGCAGGACGATGGGTAGCTCCGGCGCGAACACATTTAAGCTGGCGGATCATCCGAAGCTGCCGAAGGGGAAGACGATAGCCTTGATTGTTTTGGATGGTTGGGGTGAGGCTAACCCCGATCCCTACAATTGTATCCATACTGCTGAGACTCCTACCATGGATTCCTTTAAAAAGGTCCCCTCTCTCACTATCTGTATCTTCTTCGCCGTTATTTCGTTTCCTTGTTGTGATATCTAGTTCACGAGTCTCTTCTGATGCTTTGATGATTGTTTTTACAGACTGCCCCTGAGAAATGGAGATTGATCAAGGCCCATGGAACTGCAGTGGGTCTCCCTAGCGAGGATGACATGGGCAACAGTGAAGTTGGTCACAATGCTCTTGGTGCTGGGCGCATTTATGCTCAAGGGTAACTTTCCTTTTTCCATTTCTGGGTTGGATGGATGGATTTTGCTCGTTTGATTTGTTTCACAGAGCTTCTCATGATTTCTCATGGGGTTCATAGCAGCATGTTCATGTTATCAGCTGAAATGGTGGAAAGCAAATAGAGTGATAGCCTAATGTTGCCGACTTTTTGTTGTTCTTTCCTGCTTGTATTGGAATTTGTTGGTTTCTGCCTTGAGTGGGAATTTATTCTGCTGCGCTGTATGATTATAGCGCCAAGCTTGTCGATCTTGCCCTGGAATCTGGAAAGATCTATGATGGGGAGGGTTTCAAATATATCAAGCAATCCTTTGATAAGGGAACACTGCACCTCATTGGGTTATTGAGTGATGGTGGAGTTCACTCCAGGCTTGATCAAGTGCAGGTGAGTTTTGTTTTTGCTATCAAGGACTTGTTGAGTATTTTTTTATATGCTGGTTTGTTGTTCCCTCTCGTAGTTTTCATTATCCCCCTTTTAATCTTTTTGTGGTACAGCTTTTACTCAAAGGTGCCGCTGAGCATGGTGCCAAAAGGATTCGCCTTCACATTCTTACCGATGGACGTGATGTGATAGATGGTACAAGTGTTGGCTTTGTTGAAACTATAGAGAATGATCTCGCCAAATTAAGGGAGAAGGGTGTCGATGCACAGATTGCATCTGGTGGAGGTCGCATGTATGTGACAATGGATCGTTATGAGGTATTGCTTTCTATCAAGTTGAGACCTATCTGCATCCGTTTAGGTTAGTTTAGGAATAGTTTTCAACTGTGACCATGGATTGTTATGATGTATTACTTTCTATGAGGTAGACCTATGTGCATACCTTGAGTTATTTTAGGGATTTTTTCAAAAAGAATGTTCAGCATCTTTGTTTTCTGATGCTTAATTTTGCTCCGTATAAACTGAAATGTGTTAGTAGTGGCTTGTTTTGTTCGAGTGAAGGTCTGTGATTCTTGTTTACAGTGTGCTGTAAATTTTATCCACCTATTTGTATTGTCTTACCTGCGGTAGAAAACCAACCGTCTCCATCAACCTTCTTGGGTCTTGGGAGGATCTTGATACTGGGACTGACACATGCCTGATTGATGCTTAGAGGCACTTTATTTGTGAGAGTTTATCATTGGTGATTTGATATTGGAATGTTTCTGGTTGGGTCTTGAAGTGCTATTTGAAATTCGCTGCAGAATGACTGGAGTGTTGTGAAAAGAGGGTGGGATGCCCAGGTTCTTGGTGAAGCGCCTCACAAGTTTAAGAGTGCAGTAGAAGCTGTGAAGAAGTTAAGGGAAACTCCCAAGGCCAATGACCAGTATTTGCCTCCTTTCGTTATAGTTGATGACAGTGGCAAGGCTGTGGGGCCAATAGTTGATGGCGATGCGGTCGTCACAGTCAATTTCCGTGCAGACCGTATGACTATGCTTGCAAAGGCACTTGAGTATGAGGACTTTGACAAATTTGATCGTGTGAGAGTTCCTAAGATTAATTATGCTGGTATGCTCCAGTATGATGGCGAGTTGAAGCTTCCAAGTCATTACCTTGTGTCTCCTCCTGAGATAGAGAGAACTTCTGGTGAATATTTGGTGCATAATGGTGTTAAAACATTTGCCTGCAGGTGAGATGGTTGGGAAGACATGTTTAATTTCCATATTTACTATAATGATTGTCTTGCAAGCATTAATTTTATGCAACATTTTAAGTGATAATTTCAGTATGTGTTCACTAATTTGAAGGCTTTTTGGTCTCAAACACTTTTTTTCAACAGTGAGACGGTCAAGTTTGGTCATGTTACTTTCTTCTGGAATGGAAACCGCTCAGGTTATTTCAACCCAGAAATGGAAGAATACATTGAGATTCCAAGTGATGTTGGGATCACATTCAACGTACAACCAAAGATGAAGGCATTGGAGATTGCAGAGAAGGCACGGGATGCCATCCTCAGTGGGAAATTCCATCAGGTAAATCAGTTGAGCGTGCTGGTATAAGTATTGTCTGATTAATATATTTATTTATACTTGTTAATGTATCTCATGCTTGTCTTGAATCTATTTAGGTTCGTGTGAACCTACCAAATGGAGACATGGTGGGACATACAGGAGATGTTGAAGCAACAGTTGTTAGTTGCAAGGCTGCTGATGAAGCCGTCAAGGTAAGAAGTCATGCTGTTTAACCTCATATGACAATGACAATTATCTGACGTACCTACTAGTTAGTTTGTCTAGTTGCTTTAGTAATTTCGCATAGTTCTGGTGGCTGATTACTTGCCACTGCGTGGATAACTTTTCATGTGGCAGATAATGATTGATGCAATCGCGCAAGTTGGTGGAATTTTCGTGGTCACAGCAGATCACGGGAATGCTGAAGACATGGTTAAGAGAGACAAATCTGGGAAGCCTGTGCTTGACAAGAATGGCAATGTCCAAATCCTGACTTCCCACACCCTCCAACCTGTAAGTCTTCAAGTTCATGAATGAATGAACGTCTTGCAAGACTCGGATTCAGTATCAACAAATTTCTGCTTTCTTTGTGTAGGTCCCAATTGCGATCGGCGGCCCAGGATTGGCACCTGGAGTGAGGTTCCGCAGCGATGTCCCAACTGGTGGACTTGCAAATGTTGCCGCAACTGTGATCAATCTCCATGGATTCGAGGCCCCAAGCGACTACGAGACCACCCTCATTGAAGTGGTGGACAAGTAAGAGAGGATTTGAGATATGAAGCCACCACCTTTGCAGATATCCTGGTTTACTTACTAGTTCACTGTCTGCTGATGTGTGAACTGTTAAAGCAATTGATGGAAGTTGTGATGGTAGTGTTGGCATTTTGCTTTTTTATTTTTGCTCTCCCCCATTTAGGTTGAAAAATAAGCCATTTTTTACGGTCCCTGGCTGCCTGCTGTGCCCGTCCACGGGCCGCTGCTAGTCTCTCTCTATATCTACTTCGGATTTTCCTCTTTTAATAGACTTTATACCCGAGAAAAAGACGCTCAAAATTTGTTGGCCATCTTGTGGAATTGATGTTATGGTTTACCATGTTTTTTCTTTTTACGTCTGAAAGAAAGAAAGGAAAGAGTTTGTTCATATAAACATGTGGGTTAATTGCATGGTTGGTCAATGAGATTACAAAAAAGTTCAAATTTGGTCACTCAAAATATTTAAATCTATTGGTGGTACTTCAATTTACTCAAACGGTTTACGTTTGGTCACTCTCCGTCCAACTCCGTTAACTTTAATTGATATGGCAGTCAACTCTCATAGTTGACCACTAACTTAGTGACGTGGCAATTAAAAATCATAAATAAAATAAAATTTAATCTATTTTAATTTTCAACTCATTTTTACTATAAAAAACATTATAATTGATACAGATGGAGAGACATTCTTCTCAGTCCCAGTCACCCACCTCACCCGGCGGCGCCACCCGCCCCACGGTCACAGTTCCTCAGGGCTCCGCTGCCGCCACCGCAGGGATGCGCCGGGGGGCCTTCATCGTCTGTTTCTCTTGCCTCGGACGACGGCGTAGGTAGTTCCGGAGGAACAAGCCTTTTCCTATTCGGGTTTATTTCCTTCTCAGCAACACCATTCCGTTTCTCCTAAGGGCCGTCCCATGATATTTGGGGGCCTGTTCGACAATTTAAATTGTGGCCCCAAAAAATTTTTTCACAAATTTATTAAAAATAAAAATCATTAAATAATAATAAAAATTACATAACTTCAAAAAATTATTAAAAAATTAATAATACTTTCTATTTTTTAAATATTATCTACGCTTAGAACTATCTTTTTAAAAATTTTGGGTTGACATAATTAAAATTTATAATCAAAGATTAATGTTTCCAAATTACCAATCAATATAAGTTCCCTACAAAAGAAAAAGGGTTAGAATTTAAAAAAAGTTGATTAGGAGTCTGTATAGTAGGGATGAAGATTGATTAGGAGTTAATTAGAATTGGGTGTGACCAATTCATATTTAGGCGTTGGATGATTTTGGGAAGTTGAGAAATTTTGGGAAAAAAGAAGAATACAAACGTTAGATACATGAACAGATATTTTAAATTTAGCAAACAACACATAGCTTAGTGGTTTAATCTCCTTTTTCTTAATACGTGGTCCATGGTTCGATTCCCCTCCTTGTAGATTTTTTGTCTGGGCGTCTGGGCCTTGCCAACGTAAAGGGGCCTCCGAACCTATGGGTTAAGTGGGGCCTTGCAAGTCCAAGTTGGCCAGGACTATGTGGGCCTTGCCAGTCTCAGAGGGCCTTCGGACTTATGGATTATGAGGCCCCAAAATATTGAGGCCCTGTGCTGTGGGTCTGACCAGCACAGGGCCTGGGTCGGGCCTATTTCTCCTCCACACCAAGAAGCATCACTTATTTGCTCTTCTCCTTCTTCACTATATATTCTACTAGCCTATAGCCCGGCCCGTTGGCCGCATTTGTTTAAGGAAATGGAGTTACAATATCTATAATGATAGTGTCGAGAAATGAGTCTTGTTTTATATTATCATAAGATTGTTGCAATTTTGCAATCGTTGAAGACGAACATGTAATATGAATGAACATTCATAATAAGTTAGAAATACATTTGAAGATTAGCTAATCACAATAAAAATACTTACATGAAATTTTACTAATCACAAATCTAATCTAGTTGAGTATTACGACAAATAACATGCAAGTCCAAAATAAGAAAACTCAATACATTGTCTCATTGTTCATGACATGGTACTCAATTCAACAAAGGCAAAAATAATTTCACCAACACAAGTTCACAATAACCAAATGCATCGTTCCAGGGACCGACTGTGACCATGACTTCAAATGTCTGTTCTCCAAGCATGTTCAGAAGGGCCATATAGTCAGCATTGAAAACATCTGCATGACTGAATACAGATTCAACAATCGTTCGTAAATGTGATGACGGGAAGACGATGTCAACACCAATGAATTCGTCCTCAATTGTGAGGTGGACGAAATGGATTCTGGATGCAGGGGACCAGGACGTCGTCAAATTCGTTACACGTCCGGATAACAAAAAAGAGGTGCCCTGATGTAAACACAGAAACGAATATTGTCAAAGCAAATCGATAAAATGCAGCATGCCACAAAAGGCGTACGATTAAAAAGAAATTTATTTGATTAGTTACCTGATTTTTGACATCCACTTGCAACATAACGAGATCGATGGTGTCGGCACGCTCACAAATTTCAAGAGCATCATCATATTGCAGATTAGCAATAAAACCATGGGGAAGCCTATATATTGGACTGTAAGTTTTGGCATTAAGTAGTGAAAAAGAATCGAAATTACATGATGTAGTATTTGTTGGATGCATGAGCAGTACTTACTGATTGAATTGAGGCAGGCCCGCCATATTGAATGCAATTCGCACGGTCAATGGAACCGAAGTGTTTTGTATGGGAAGTAGTAAACGGAAATTGTAACATGAGAGAAAGTGGTATCTCCATTATATAAAGGAGAGAAAGTGATTCTACACACGTGATTTACTTGGCCGCATGCAGTGGAGTACGTGTGTGTGTGGAAAGTGGGATAGTGGGGGAGTGGAGAAGGATTTGTGGCCTCGTGGGGGAGTGGAGAAGGTTGGCCATTTAGAGTTCAAGAGGCGGGTGTGTCACGTAACTCACGACCCACCTTCTTTTTTTTTTTTTTGAGGGGAACGACCCACCTTCTTAAAATCAACATGCGCCTTTCTTTTATTTTGTTGCAATTAAAAATTCAAAAACAAAAGAAGGTAAGTACAGAATAAAATATAAAGAGAAGAAAAATCAGTTCACTTTTCCCAAAAAAGACCCAGCAGCCGCCCAAATTATGCTTTTTCAGTTTTAATAATTCTCACTTTATTCTTTTATGTCTAATAAGTGAAACAATAATTGTAAAAAAAAATAATTGTTAAGTCTTCCAAGTAAGTCAACACCGGTTTATGATCGGTTTTTAATATCGATTAACCACCGGTTATTTGATAAACCTTGAACCCTTTACTAATCCAGATCGATGTCCGGTTCCGTTTTAACAACATTGCTAATTGCGACTGTGTCAACAATTCTTGTCCAAAATTGCCTCTCAAAGTTGCTAATTATTATTTGATGCGCCAACCCGGCCGGCCCGGCCCACACCACCACTAATTAACATGAAATGAAAATCATAATGAATGTATTTAATAAAGAAATAATGGCTTGGAATGCGGCAGCCTTCACCTCTTAGAAGATCCAAAAAAATCGGATACTGGGCAGTAGAGGAGGTGGGGGAGTGGGGGAGTGGAGAAGGATCCGCCCAAGGTAGTGTAGGTTGGCCTTTTTTTTTATGGGAATAGGTTGGCCATTTAGTTTCAACAAATCCGGCTGGGCATTCCCTCTCTAACTATATTTTATTTAACTGCACCATGCTTGGGTTGTTTTGTGGGCTGGGTTATTTTGTGGGCTGGGTTGTGGTGTTAATTTAGTTTAGTTCAGTTGCGACTATGGAAGTTCTTCTTCGTATTGCAATATAACGGTCACACTCGCATACCCTTCGGTAGAGTAAATTGAGGTACAATTAAATATAAAGTAGTGTGCATAAATCACATTTCATATAATTGGCTGTTAAAAACAGGAAAATAATTTGGACAAATTGAGAACTCAAGATTCAAATTGTAACGACCCGATAAATTTGACAGTCTTAGTCCTCAAATCGAATAAAACATAATACATCAATAAACTACTACTCAAAAATCTCAGTGAACACAATGTTCTGCATAGTCTTCACCGGTTTACCTTGAGAGTCACAGCTAAGAATCTTGAGTCCCCTTTCCGACGTAACTCGAGACATAGCAACATACAACTGTCCATGAGAAAATACTTGTCTTTGCAAGCAGATGCCAACGTGATTTAATGTTTGACCTTGACTCTTGTTAATTGTCATTGCATATGACAGTGCAATTGGATATTGCCTTCGAACCAGAGTGAAATTTAAGCTCTTGTAGTGGACCGATAGACTTAGGCGTGGTAAGAAAACTGTATCACCAACATGTGTCCCGGTCAAAATTTGGACCTCAATAAACCACTTACCTAATCTCTTAACGATCATCCGAGTTCCATTGCAAAGGCCAGTACTCTGATCCAGATTTCGAAGCAGAATAACAGGGCACCCCAACTTCAATTTCAACTCATGTTCCGGAAAATTCCCAATCTTTAAAGAGTTCAAGAATTCAACTGTGTAGTCCCCTTCTTCAACATGCTGATTCTTGGCATCAATCTCTAGCGAATCCGAACTAAAATAAGAAACTTCTTCACCAGGAAATAGACCCAATACATAATTGTTAATGGCCGCAACAGTGTCATTATGAGGGGCTAAGATAGCTCGCTCAACCAAATAGGTTGACATATTTTCAGTGGAGAGTAACTGACCATATATTTCAGCAACAATATCAGGAATTGGATCACTCCGACGGGGAACACAAATGTGTAGAGGTATCGGGATAATTTATTCTCTAAAAATATTACTATTTGTACCATCACCAATTTCCAAAAGCCATTTGCTAAAATTTGAGATTGCTAACCTGGCCGATGCTTCATAATGAGGCAATTTTAATCGCATGTTCTCGGTTAGCTTCATTACTGTCATAGACCGCCACAAATAAGATCTCTTTATGGAAGAATTAACAATTTCAGTCAGTGTACCCTTCGTGATGATAGGTAACGTCTGTCGGAAATCACCTCCAAACACAATAGTCATACCTCCAAAAGGCTTCAACTCAGAATCAACATGCTTAACTCGGAAAATATCCCTCAATGTCCTATCTAGGGCCTCTATGTTGTGTTTATGAGCCATCGGTGCCTCATCCCAGATAATAAGTGAAGCATTGAGAATCAATTCAGCTACCTCAGAACCTTGCTCAATATTGCAAGTTGATTTTGTATCACAATCCAGGGGAATGTGAAATCTTGAGTGTGCAGTTCTTCCACCGACCATGAGCAGTGCAGCAATACCAGATGAAGCAACACATAATACTATCCTCTTCTCAAATCTTAATTGCTCACAAATTGCTCGCCACAGAAATGTCTTACCAGTACCCCCAAATCCATCCACAAAAAAGCATTTACCCTCATTGGTATAAACAGAATGTAATACCATATCGTAAGCGATTTTTTGTTCTCCATTCAACGGTCTACTATGTCGATCCTCAGAACAGTCTAAGTCATCGGGTCCATAATTAATCTCCATATTTATCAGCCTGTTTACCGTATGTGAACGCAAACACTGATCGGGAACAGGCAACCCAGGGAAATCTGCTAATGACTTCGAAAATCTCTCCATCAATTTGTCAATATGAATAAGGCACAACTCCTTAATTTCATCCTCCGACAAATTCAACTGGGGTAAATTCAGCTCTCTACGTCGTGAATGCAAAATGCCTTCACTTAGTAATTCCCAATTCTTTAACCAAAAAGAAGTCACATCAGCCACCTGATAATGAATAAGAATTGTGACAAAAAGTTTTCTAAGTTTATAACCAGAAGCCCAGTGCGAAGCTTCTTGGACACAATCATTCCATTCAGAATCTCCTAATAACAGTCCCCGAGCATAACATGCTTTTTGGAATGTTTCATATACCACCCCATTCACTGTTCTAATATCATCATAAGAACAACAACCCCTAACAACATGCAATAACATTCGCAAATAGTATCGCTCCTTTGCGGATGGGTAGCAGTAATATAATCTAGCAATGCAGGTACCTTTTTTGCGCTGCTGCCACTTCTTGTATTTTTTATTCCATACATAATATTGTGGCATCTCCGCAAAGGTATATTTCCGTGCATCCATTGACTGAAGATTGAGATCCATCCATGCTAACAACATTGAGGTTTGGGAAGTGCTAGACTCAACCGCTTCCTCCACGTTAGAATCAACATTTGAATACACTGTATTCTCACCAGGCAAATGACAAGACATACGCAGTACTGTTGGAGAGTGAGTGTATATATCAAACCTAAAAATTCTCCAACATGCTTCTCCCGATGTGATGTAACGGGCATCCATGAATGCCTTTATCTCATCGATTTGCACAACCGTAGTTCCACGATTCTGACCATCCATAGCCGAAGCTGTTTGTTGTGCAGCTACAGTGACCATTGCACGATCCTCGGGTTTGTTGATGTACTTAAACAAATATTTCACAGCCCTATAGAAACATCAAATAAAACCAAGTTGTAGATGTTAGATAGGGAAGTAGGAAAAAGTTGTATTACATTTTTTCTTAAATGTGACTTGTATTAAATAAGAAATCAAAGTACAGAGAACAAAAGGCAACAAATGGATCACAATAGCTTATCCAAGGGGCAAAAAAAAATGAAGGAAAACACACCAAAAAATATTACAAAAATTACAGAGTTGCGGCAAGAAGTCACACCAATAAGATAACACTGGGTTTATAAAATAACTAAAAAAAAAAGAGAAATCGCACAAATATTGGTTTGGTTTTTATTCATCTTTGGAAATTAAATCATAATTCATATGCATGCATAAAGTTAATAATGAGTGTAGCATATAAATATACATATACCCTTTCATTAAGAATCTGAGTTTGGTAATATAATA